CGAATCACAGAGGGGTTCTTCCTCATGAGCAGCGTGCGCGGTCGCGGCGATGTCACGCAGCTCACTGGCTGCCGTTGAGTGATTCTGTAGATCGAAACTAGTAGAGCTTTTCTCAGTATATTCACGTGAGTAACCCGCGATTTTACTTAATTTAGTATGTCTCACGTTAGTTATTATAAAAACAAATGTTGTCAAGTAAAATCGCAGGTTACTCACGTGAATATACTGAGAAAAGCTCTACTAGTTTCGAACCACAGAGGGGTTCGTCTTCTTCGGTCGCGGCGACGTCGCGCATCTCATTGAGCTGAGTGAGCGCACACTTAACCCGCGATTTTACTTAATTTAGTATGTCTCACGATAGTTATTATAAAAACATTGAAAATTTGATCTATTTTTCAGGTGTATTTTCTATATGAGCGAATCACTTACCCGTGGGGGGTTCACGGGGCGGCGCTGTGAGAACCTGAATGCGGCTCTGAGCAGCAACTGTAACGCCTCAGGCACCTTGAGGATGGGAGGACCTACTGCTAAGACTGGGTAAGTAGAAGATCAGAAGGGGGTGGGCAGAGGTACACATATTACATTAGCAATGAGGGGGGTTTCGGGATTGATTCCTGGATTGGAAACGTTACGACATTCATAATAGCAAAGATCAAGAGGTGTCAAGTTCGATTATGGTTCCAAGTGGGGTGAACAATAGGGGTGAACCTATTTTGCTTTATACTGAGTTCAAATCTAGACGCTGTGCTAATAATTTTCGAAAAACGTAAAAACCATTTTTTTTTTGAGCTGAAGTGTTTGTTTGTTTGTTTGAACGCGCTAATCTCAGGAAGTACTGGTCCGATTTGAACAATTCTTTCTGTTTTGGATAGTCCATTTATCGAGGAAGGCTATAGACATAGAACATCACGCTTCGATTAATAGACGCCGAGCAGAGCGGATTAAACACTAAACCAGTTTACATTTTACGGAACAGAATAAAGTTCCTTAAGATCGGAAAAGGAGGATCCTCTCGACCAGGCGAGGTGATCTTGCCTGGCGGGCTTTCTGCCCAACAGTTGTTCGTTGGGATTTTCTATCCGTGTTAATTCTCATGTGAACTTCACATGTGCGATGTAGGATTTTTGACGTCATCCGTTGATTTGTTTTCATTGATATTCTATGTGCGTGAAATGTCATTTGACATGTGTCAAGACGTATCGCCACTACATTAATACTGTATTTTTTGTTACAGATCTTCCGGAATCTTCTTCGTAAGAACAAATGCGAATTCTCCTTTCTCTCAAGGTTGACTTGTATTGACCAAAGACATTTTGTATAATAAATTCTATAAGGCATACATTGTACGGAGTTTTATTTACCTTTTTCGATATATAGACTAAACGAGCAGACGGATCACCTGATGGTAAGCAAACGGCGTCGCCCATGGACACCTGGTACACTTGAGGCGTTACATCCAAAACCGAGCCGTCGCGAAGGACACTCCGGACCACGGGGATAGCGGGACGATGTCCAGCCACCGTAAGCCTGGCCGACCAGAACCAGACCCAAGCGTACGGCGCGTCGCGTTCTGCGCGCGCCTTGAAGAGCCATCAGACCACCACGGATGGGGCCCAGTAGGTAGCCGATACGAAGCTGCTCAAAACTAAACGGGTTACCGGGGCTCCGGCTCGACGTGCAGGAGAAGGAACGGGGTGGTTTTTAGTCAGTAAGAGTCTGAAACTCCCTCCCGCCTCACCCAGGCGGGAGCAGTCATTCGATGATTTACCCCCCTTAAAAAAACTAGTAATTGGGCCTCCAGTAACCTCACTCACACGACGAAACACAACGCAAGCGTTGTTTTACGTCGGTTTTCTGTGAGGCTGTGGTATCACTCCGGTCGAGCCGGCCCATTCGTGCCGAAGCATGGCTCTCCCGCACTTAGTATATAAGATTTAAGGGCAATAGAAATGAAACAAGTATATAATGTATCTATTTGTCTATATTTTGAGTGCAATTATTCATTTTGTGTTACAATTAATTACTTAATTATTTAAAAATCACAATCAAAGAAGATTTTAATTCGTGAATAGTATTAAACCAAAAATATACACCATTATTATGTAATACACCATAACTGTATTAATTTAAAGTTGAAATTGCAATACGGAGAACATTTTAACATCAGTTTTTTGTTAACTCAATCGTTGTTTTGGCAAATTCATCTTTGTATTAATAAAGTTAAAGTATATTATAGCATGTCAACAAAAAATAGTATGTAACACTACTATAATACTTCAAAGCTACTGTGTCATTGTAATTTGAACTCTAAATCACTTGTTATAAGGTATAATATAGGTAGTGTTAGTTATAAAAAGAGTGATTAAAAAATTGCTATTAAAATTACATTTAATATTAAATAATTTACTAATATTGCCCGTTCAAAACAATTTGAACTCTATTCAAAAAGACATAAGAACTACATGAATTATGTACTTAAAACATATTTAATAATTCGTCCCATATTTAATTGGAGCTCTCCCCAATATCGTACACAACCGATACCATAGCATTCAAAAATAAAAATCACAATTATACTTTTAACTAACCAAGGAATCGAACCCGCTTAATCATACTAACAAAGCAGTGATAAGTAATAAAGACTATACATATAATTAAAGATTCATTTATAATATAGAATTGAATTTATATAAATATATATTTCGTTATTTAATTGTATACAATAATTTACTAAAACACAGTTAGATCAATGAAAATGATGATGAATGATTTTAAATAGTAAAATGAAGAATTATAATTTATATATAAATTTATCTAAACACCACTGATTAACGGTGAAGGAAAACATCGTGAGGAAACCTGGGCTTATAATTTCTAATTATAAGTTTGAAACCGCCAACCCGCATAGAGCAAGCGTGGTGATTAATGCTCAAACCTTCTCCGTGTGAGAAGAGGCTTTTGATCAGCAGTGGGCACTTATATTCATACGATTTTTTATGGCATAAGCCGGTAAACGAGCAGACGGATCACCTGATGGTAAGCAATCGGCGTCGCCCATGGACACCTGAAACACCAGAGGCGTTACAAGTGCGTTACCGGCCCTTGGCATTTGAGAATTGTTTAGGATTCAGGGATTGGGGAGATCGGGGTGTGGTACTTGGACCTTCGGTAATAATACAGAGCAAAATTCTGCAAGAGAGCTGAGCAGAGCGGGAGAAACGCGGAAGTAGAAAGTGTTAGATATTTTGCGCAAAATCAAAAGGAGTGAAGTTGAATTTCATACTATCTAAGTAAAAGGGGTCGACAGAGGTCCACGTGTACAATTTAACACCCATTTTTTACTATTCGTGTTATAAGTCCCATGTAATAGGGGGTGAGCCTATTGCCATATACCGGGCACAATTCCAGACTTCGTGCTACTACTGAGAATTATTTCAAAAACCCAGTAATACTTTGCCCGACCCGGGAATCAAACCCGAGACCCCTTGTCCGGCAGTCGCACTTGCGACCACTCGGCCAACGAGGCAGTTTTTAAAATTGAATAATGATATATTTATCTATAAGTACATATTATAATAAAATCGTACGAAAGTCAAAATAGTACATTGGATATTTTTAAAAGAATATTTGGAGCGTGATCTACAATCGGTAACGAAGTCAAAAATATAGTTTTTCAAATTTTGTCTGTTTGTCTGTATGTATGTCCGGGGTAAACTCAAAAAGTACTGTATGGATTTACCTCAAATTTTGCATGAATATTACTAACAGGTCGGGTCAACATATAGGCTACATATCATCACGCTATCATCTAGGGGAGAGGAGCTGTGACCTGTGTTCAAAGTCATTATTCCACGAGGGCATAGCTGGTTACAGACCTATTGTTATATAACGGTACATAATATAACAACACGCCTTGTAATCCCAGAGGGGGTAGACAGAGATGCAAATATACAATATAAAACCCACTTTAGACCAAACAGTAAGTCATAAGTTATATTTAACCATTCGCTGTAACGACTAGAATTTGTAATTATTGACAACTAGAGACGACAGAGTAGAAATACATTAGTCAACCACCGCTATTCTTCCCGCGGGTGTCTTATACCCGATCAAGAGACTATGACAGGGATCGTGCAGTAGCGCTCTCTGATAAACCTGAACCTTGTATACTGCGATCTCCAACCTGCCTGCCTGCGGAGATTATGACAAACCCTCTTATGTAGAGGAGACTCATAGTGCAGCAGTGGACTGTCACCCGATGTGAGGTTTAAATTTAATTCTGACGCCTATTGTATTGTTTACAACATAACATAACATCACGCCTTTCTATCCCCGAAGGGGTAGGCAGAGGTGCACATTATGCCATTGTACAATGTAACACCCACTTTTCACTATTTATGTTAAGAGTCCCATGTAATAGGGGGTGAGCCATTGCCATATACCGGGCACAATTCCGTGCTACTACTGAGATTTTTTTTAAAACCCCAGTAATACTTTACCCGACCCGGGAATCGAGCCCGAGACCCGTTGCCCGGCAGTCGCACTTGCGACCACTCGGCCAACGAGGCGGTCAATGCATTGTTTAGATTATTATATTTTAATAATAAATATGAGTATAACAATAATTAAATTCAATTAATTCAGCTGACGACAGTCGCATCATAATCCAGTATAACACCAGACCATCTCAATGAAACCCGACACGGGATTCGAACTCGATACCTAATACTTTACGCTACTTTCTTAAAGAATCACATACGACAATAATCTAGAATAACTATGATAGGCGTCAATTAAAAAATAAAACATTCACAATTTGAAAATCAAAAAATACTGCTACACGAAGCAATTCCAATATTACTATTAAATCCAAAAAACATCTTCCATCCCTTTCTACCTCATGAGAATGCCACTACGTAAGAGCGAGACAACAGATCTGTTAGTTTATTATAAAGTCGCATTATACGAAATTGCTTGACCGAATTATGGTGTAGTTGTGTTCAAGGTACGTAGGGAAATACTTGAGTGATCCGGCCGATGCCTCTGTAACAAAAAAACATATTAAAATTACGATATGAGATTGAAAATGAGACAGAGAAAGACAGTGAGAGGTCAGAGGGGGGCAGGGGAGAGGGGGAAGGGGAACAACAAGGGATTTCGTGATCAATTCCCGGGTCCTCAAGGTTATTTTCTTTTTCCGTCTCCTTGACCAAATATTGGTATTACATTGTTCTCACATTATTGAACTCAACGGAAGAATGTAACCAAAAATTGTATTATTAAATTATAAAATTACGATATTACATTAAAAATGAGACAAGCCTTAGTACGAGTTTGTAGTAATCGCAACGAGTTTGCGTTCAGCGCTCTGATTGGTTGCTTCATTGGCGCCGGCCAATCAGAGCGCCGAACGCGTACTCGTGTCGAATACTTTAAACGTAAATCAAACTTTTACTATGTCCTCAAATGGGCAGACGATATTAATGCTAACGGAGATTCTAAGTGTGGGAGAGCCATGCTTCGGCTCGACCGGAGTGATACCATGGCCTCACAGAAAACCGACGTGAAGCAACGCTTGCGTTGTGTTTCGTCGTGTGAGTGAGGTTACCGGATGCCCAATTACCCTCGCCTTCCCCAATCTCCCCAATCCCTGAATCCCCAACGATCCTCTAACTCCTAATCCCTAAAAGGCCGGTAACGCACTTGTAACGCCTCTGGTGTTCCAGGTGTCCAAGGGCGACGCCGATTGCTTACCATCAGGTGATCCGTCTGCTAGTTCACCGGCTTATACCATAAAAAAAAGATACGTATAATCTATATATATAAAAGAAAGTCGTGTTAGTTACACTATTTATAACTCAAGAACGCCTCAATCGATTTAGATGAAAATCGGCAGGGAGGTTGCTTAGAACCAGGAGACGGACATAGGATACTTTTTATACAATACTTTTTTTTACTTTTTACCGAAAATCACGAACGGGAACGGGGGGAAAATGGGATTGCGCGTACGAAGTCGCGGGCAGAAGCTAGTTTAAATATAAAGATAGAAGATATACCGACCTGGTCCCCAGTCCAGCGGTGAACAGTAGTCGTCGTCCTTTGACCAAGTACTCCGGACAGCGCACGAATCGAAACAGTACGGACGCCCTCTCGTCCGCGCGGAGCACTGCGTGCAGGGACATTATACCCTGCGGGGGGGACGGGGGGCTTAGAAAGGGGGACATAGTGACGTCGTCGTGGGTGCGAGTTGAATGTAATAGGGTAGATGTCTAATTTTTATTTTAATGTCCGTCTGGTAAATTATTTGAAAACATTACACACGTATTTTTTTAGGGAAACGAATAGTTTCGATGATATATCGATTTGAAATGTCGCGTGCGTGACGTCACTTCTATGTACATTTTATACGTAGAAATGACATTTTAGCCTCCACTCCTAAACTTTAATTCGTTTTATCCAAGTATTGTTTTATTATACGACAAAATAAAAAAAATACGTGTCTAATATTTTTTCATTACCTAACTGACGGACTAATTAGATTTTTAATTTTCATACCCTTATTATAGTCATCATCCCAATTGATATTTATTTACCTCTATGATAGCCGTCTGCCTGACGTTCCCGACATGTACAGTGCACTGGAAGCCGGGGTATATCACGGTGGAGTGGCGCAGTACGTGCACTGAGGCCTGGAACAAGTATTATAGAAAATAATATAAATTTGATAATTCATCAATGTGTTTTAAGAGTCCAATGGCCGGTTTCAGCAACCACTTCTAAACCATCTCTGTATTATGACTTACTTAGCGTAAACAAGCAGCTAAATTAAACCTGGGGGCTTAACTTTCCTTAATCAAAAATAGATTATTTTGACTGTTCAACACAATAAAATATTATAAAACAATAACACTTTAATTAATCGATTTTATTACCAACTTCATTTTAGTATTTTTCTAGTAATTCTTTAAGAAATAACTATGCTGTTTGACGCTAAAAAAACGTGACGTCACAATACATAATCTCGTACAAGATTCATAGAAAACTGTCGTTTTTGACAGTTCGAAAAAAGTATTGAATTTGACTAGTTGGCAAGTACCCAATTCCGATCGATCGACATTGATATTGTGTCGTACTCTTGACTTGCAACACTAGCGCCCATTGCATCCGTATTGCAAGGATATTGAATGAACTAAATGGTATTGAGTTTGGTTTTATATATAAATGCCCACTGCTGAGCAAAGCCTCTTCTCACACGGAGAAGGCTTTGAGCATTAATCACCACGCTTGCTCAATGCTGGTTGGCGATTACAAACTTATAATTAGAAATTATAAGCCCAGGTTTCCTCACTATATTTTCCTTCACCGTTTATCAGTGGTGTCTAAATAATCTTAGAAAGTACATATAACTCGGATAAAAGTCACATTGGTACTTGCCATTGGTAGGTTTCAAACCCGCATTCTCATGCATGAGAAGCGGGCGTCTTAAACCTCCGGGCCACCTATATACCTGTGTATACTTCATTTAAATATAACATAACATCACCGTCATTATAGACACAATTAAAGAACAATAGGTCGCGGTCACCGGTGTCCTCGCGGTGTTTGACATTTTCCTTCACCGTTTGTCAGTGGTGTCTAAATAATCTTAGAAAGTACATATAACTCGGATAAAGCCACATTGTTACTTGCCACAAAGGGTTTACTAACCTGAAAATAGATACATCCTCTCGGATCATTGGGATCTTCAAGCAGGACTTTGTCGGAGCACACGCAGTCATCGTACGTGACGTCATCGTCATCGTCATACAATATATTGTTGTCTATTACAATCTCTTTCGATATATTCTCTTCAGATTCAATGTCTCGAAGTAGATTCTTGTTTTTCCTCCGAACGTTTTTACGATTCTTCGTCTTCTCCGAAAGATTCTGGTCTATAAGCTGCTTCAGCTGTGACAAAAGGAAAAAATAACATTATTATATTTACTACTAGCTTTTACCCGCGGCTTCGCTCGCGTCACAAAAGTATAAAAAGTAGCCTATGTGACATATACCAATACGTACAACGCCATCTATACCAATACTTTTGTTTTCCCTCGGGAATATCACATTATTCCGGGATAAAAAGTACCCTATTATTTAATACGGACTTCTAACTATACATCTGCAAAAATTCAAAGCAATCGGTTTAGTAGTTACGGCGTGAAGTCGGAACAAACAAACAAACAAACTCACTTCCGATTTATAATATTAGTAAAGATGATTCAAGTCAAAGCATTTATTTCAATTAAACCATAATTTGGTACTTTTGAAACGTCAACAAACGCTTACTAATCCTTACTTAATATTATAAATCGGAAAGTGAGTTTGTTTGTTTGTTCCACTTTCACGCCGTAACTACTAAACCGATTGCTTTCAATTTTTGCAGACGTAAAGTTAGAAGTCCGGATTAAATAATAGGGTACTTTTTATTCCGGAAGTATTTTATATTCTCGAGGGAAAACGAAATTATTGGTATAAATGGCGCTGTATGTATTGGTATTATGTCACATAGGCTAATTTTTATCCTTTTGTGACGCGAGCGAAGCCGCGGGTAAAAGCTAGTACAAAATAAATAATAGTCTGTCAGTCAGTCAGTCCGTCAGTGAAGCTAGGTGCACATTCCAAAATGTAGATTCGAACGGAGAAGAACGAGCAAGAAACTCCATTCGTTACTCTTTTTAAAAAAGTATGTTCTACAATGTCTCTGATACGTATTCCAATACTGTACGTATATGCGAGAACAATGCAAAGACACGCTTGACGCATTATACTAATTACAAAACTTACTAAAATAAAAAAATTCAAATCTTATGTTAGACTACATGGTGCTCACATATGCATACTGACAATCCATAAAATTAATGCTTTTATACAAGAAAAAGGAAACTCTTTGTTTCAATATAGGTAGAAAGAAATGCTCGATGCCATAAGGAAACTAGATTGATTGATTACAATCAGGGGCATGAATAACTGAACTATCCCGCAACGAAGTGAATCAGAAGATATTATAAGAGGAGAAGAAAAATACTATAGTTTCCACTTCTCTCGGTGAATTACTGCAGGAGACAGAGTGACTGCACGGTTGGCGCGGTGGCTGGGCAACCGGCTACCGTGCAACGTGTCGCGGGTTCGATTCCCGCACGGAACAACACTTTGTGTGATCCAGAAATTGTTGTTCGGGTCTGGGTGTCATGTGTATGTGAACTTGTATGTTTGTAAACGCACCCACGACACAGGAGAAAATCCTAATGTGGGGCAACGTTTTTTTTTTTAATAAAAAAATTTAAAAAAAAAATGTATGCCTGAGAAAACTACCCAATGGGTGCTACCGTATTTTTACTCAGCGGATTGTGCAAATATAGCAAGAGGTTTTTTGACCAATCACAGCAGCTGTCCAATATTGGACGTCCAATAGGGTGACACTAGCTAATTCCCTATTGGACGAAGAACGAGAGATGCACACTAGCGATATCTAGCGAGCAAACACACAGTAGTCCCCATTACTAAAGATTATTTCACCAACGAGACGAGCATGCATGTAACGACTGATGACTATTGATGAAGCGAAAGAGGTATGTAAGAATCGTAGCAATTGATGTTCGGTAGTCTCTGCCTACTGCCATGGGAGACAGGCGTGAGGTGATGTATGTGTTTGACCAACTCACCTGGTTGCCCTGTTTGCAGTGTCCAGGGGCGCAGGCCCCGAAGGCAGGTCTCCTGGGCGCCCTCCGCGGCGGGGCCAGCAGCACCATGCCAGGGCGGGGCCGCGCGCCCGCCGCCAGCCCCACGCTGGCACACTGCCCCGCCCGCACCCAGCCGCACGGCGCGCGGTTGCGGTATATGGAGCGGACCGTCGTGGGGGAGAACGAGCCGTCCTCTAGCGGGCCTGGGGGACGGGACATGCTTCTATAGGGGCTTCTTACGAGATACTAAGGATCATTTCATTTATTCATTTAACAATTTAAACATAACATCACGCCTTTTATCCTCGAAGGAGTAGGCAGAGGTGCACATTATATCACTGTACAATGTAACACCCACTTTTCACTATTTATGTTACAAGTCCCATGTAATAGGGGGTGAGCCTATTGCCATATACCGGGCACAGTTCCAGACTCCGTGCTACTACTGAGAATTTTTTAAAAACCCAGTAATACTTTGCCCAACCCGAGAATCCTAGCCCGACAGTCGCACTTGCGACCACTCGGCCAACGAGGCAGTCAATCTATACATATATGATGTATTTTTGTTTTTAAGGGGGGAAAATCATCGAATGACTGCTCCCGCCTGGGTGAGGCGGAAGGAAGTGTCAGACTCTTACTGACTAAAAACCACCCCGTTCCTTCTCCTGCACGTCGAGCCGGAGCCCCGGTTACCCGTTAGGTTCTCCGCGACACATATATGATGTATAGATAGATTTCAGACACAATTTAAATGTAAATAAGTGACGCCCCGACACGCCGGTAACGCACTTGTAACGCCTCTGGTGTTCCAGGTGTCCATGGGCGACGCCGATTGCTTACCATCAGGTGATACGTCTGCTCGTTTACCGGCTTATGCCATAAAAAAAATATAATTAAGAATCTCCTACTTACCTATAATGACATTATCACCCTCCCTCAGCTGTCCCCTAGCTAAGAGTCCCCCCACGACGGGGCCGGAATTGTCTCCCACGTGGAATATCTCGTCGATTTGAAACTCGCATGTTTCCTGAAATATAGAAACACAATTTAATTTAATTCTTTACTTTGACATAACATCACGCCTTTTATCCCCGAAGGGGGATAAGGTTAGGCCCTTGCCTCGTTGGCCGAGTGGTCGCAAGTGCGACTGTCGGGCTAGGATTCTCGGGTTGGGCAAAGTACTACTGTGTATTTTATAAATTCTCAGTAGTAGCACGGAGTTTGAAATTGTACCCGGTATATAGCAATAGGCTCACCCCCTATTACATGGGACTCGTAACATAAATAGTGAAAAGTGGTTATAACATTGTACAGTGGCATTAAGTGTCGTAATAAACGATCCTCAAACTCCTAATCCCCAAAAGGCCGGTAACACACTTGTAACGCCTCTGGTGTTCCAGGTGTCTATGGGCGACGCCGATTGGTCATCAGGTGATCCGTCTGCTCGATTACCGACTATTGCCATAAAAAAAATATGCATCTCTGCCTACACCTAGAAGGCGTGATGTTATGTAATGTTAAAAAAGATTATTTGAAGTGGGTCCAGTAGTCCCTGAGAGCAAACAAACAAGTAGTACACAAGCCAGTAACGTACGTCCCCGGGGCTGGCGGCGGGGTGCGGGTGTCGCAGTGCCAGCAGGTACGCGTGCAGCGCGCTCAGCCCCAGCCCGCGCACGCTGCTCACCGGGAACACGGGGACCTGGCCGCCCTCCGCGCTGGAACAACGACACAGAACTATCAAGCCATCCCAAGTTAAAAGTACCCTTAACCGACGAGCATGCATGACAAGACTGATGATGAAGCGAAAGAGGTATGTCTTATGGACTGGGATGCCGTCTCCTCTTTTTGCGAAGCAGTCATGATAGCTAAGGAGGAGGCGGGACGCGTGAGGCTGCCTCCTCGCAACCCAGCCATCGCGAAGGACACACCGGGCGTCGGGGATCGCGGGACGATCTCCGGCCACCGTAAGCGCGGGCCTGCGGACGGCGAGCATGGGTGGCTCCCCGTCCGACCAGAAATAGACCCGAGCGTACGGCGCCTAGCGTTCCGCGACTCATAGAGCCATCAGACTACCACAGATGGGGCCCAATAGGGCTGTTGCCGATTCGGAGTCGCAGAGAACCTAACGGGTAACCGGGGCTCCGGCTCGACGTGCAGGAGAAGGAACGGGGTGGTTTTTAGTCAGTAAGAGTCTGACACTTCCTCCCGCCTCACCCAGGCGGGAGCAGTCATTCTATGATTTTCCCCCCATAAAAAAAAATCCTTAACCGACGAGCATGCATGACAAGACTGATGACTGTTGATGAAGCGGAAGAGGTATTGTCAACAGAACATATTATAAAGAAGTTTAGAAGGGCCTTGTGGGCGGGGTACGCGCGCCGCGATCATGAGTAAATGCTCACAATCAACCGAATTCAAGTCAAAAACTAACTAAGTGTGGGAGAGCCATGCTTCGGCACGAATGGGCCGGCTCGACCGGAGTGATATCACGGCCTCACAGAAAACCGACATGAAACTCGCTTGCGTTGTGTTTCGTCGTGTGAGTGAGGTTACCGAAAACCCAATTACCCTCCCCTTCCCCAATCTCCCCAATCCCTAAATCCCCAACGATCCTCAAACTCCTAATCCCCAAAAAGCCGGTAACGTTAGTACGTTACCGGCGTTACTAGTGTAACGCCTCAAGTGTTCCAGGTGTCCATGGGCGACGCCGATTGCTTACCATCAGATGATCCGTCTGCTCGTTTACCGGATTACGCCATAACAAAAAACTGACCATCAAACGCCATCTTGTTGTGACATCGTACGAATCTCCGCAAATAATATTAAATTATGCCGTCTTGGACTATTGTAATGTGTCGGGAAAGCGCGACAATGTATTACGTTCATAGCGAGAGTCACGAGTACCAAATCATAACTTCATTTCCTCGAATCGATATAGAGAAGTGTCAATTTGTAAACAATGTCGATAAATACTATGATACAAATGATTTTTACCAAATAGTTTACATTTTAACTGAAATAATTTTATTTATGACGACCAATCAATTATGAAATAGGTTTTAAGAGAGGTATTTTATTCGTATTTAAATTGTATGTACTTTTATTTATTCGTTATGTTTTGTTCAGTAAGTAGACTGATTTTATTTGATAGGAAATTTTATTTTACATAACTACCTTGACATCATTTAAGCGACATCTAAAGCATTTTTCGTAAGACGGATTCTTTCATACAGGCTTGGGCCGAAATTGTAAATAGTTGAAAACGAAAGAAATTCGAAATTATACCTTTTCTGTTTTTTTATACTTCTTTGATTACTACCAATCGACAGTAATTTATTCCATGTTAAATTGTAATTTAATAATAAAATTGGTTTTAAAAATCAGCACTTAATGTATTTTTTATAAATATAGGTAGTTACATGTACACAATACGCCTTATAAAGTCCACATAATCCGCAATACATGTAAAGTAAAAAGCCAAATGTCATTAACTTTATCGATATCAATAATCGACCTTTCGCTCCCCCTACCATATATGAGTTTTTACTCGTGTATGAGTGTATGTCAAACGAAGTGATTGTCTTAATGTGACGACCAATAACAAATCTTTCAACCTAGTGCGTGTTGTTTATTTGTGTGCATTTTCCGCGTAGGTATTGGTCTCTTGCTTGTATTAAAGTTAAAGAGTGGGGGACAAACGGCGACGCGTTCTGATACAAATCAGGACCTATTTCCATTCTAACCTTCTTTATATGTTCTGTAGTCTAGTCTAACCATAAAACATTGCTACCATCCGTGCGTCACTGCAGGGGTACCCACTGACAATCAGTGCTGGGTGACTCGTGTGCCCTGAGTGGGCAACCCATTTAGCATAGGCATGTTGTCAGCGTCTCTCTTCTAATTCTTCTGTTTTAATTTATCAACTCAATGTTTTTATTACTTCCACTGTCACACCTTTATTGTCTTTTTTATATTTTATTTATATACTGCATCGTGCCTGGTGCTGAATAAATGTTTTTTCTTTATTTCTATGTATGTACGAATCACAGCAATTGGCGTACCATAGTCTCTGCCTACCCCCATGAAAGACAGGCGTGAAGTTATGTATTTATGAGCCAACTCTGATGTTGACCGCGTGACGATTTCCGGCCACAGTAAACTCGCCGGCCGACCAGAACCAGATCCGAGCGTACGGCGCCGAGCGTGTAGCGCGATACAAAGAGCCATCAGACCACCACGGATGGGGCCCAATAGGGCTGATGCCGATACGGAGCCGCGGAGAACTTAACGGGTAACAGGGCTCCGGCTCGAAGTGCAGGAGTAGGAACGGTGTGGTTTATTAGTCAGTAAGAGTCTGACACTCCCTCTCACCTCACCCGGGCGGGTGAAGTCATTCGACAATATACCCCCTTAAAAAAATCTCCGGTGTTAATTCCTACTCTGTCTTTCAAAAGGATGACGGGCAGAATGTACAGTAAAAGGTCAAAAGTCCACTGGCACCGTGAGTGATGTTCACACGGCAATGCGTCAGTAATTTCATATTAATGTGCATAAACACGCATACACACACGCACGCGTACGCACACGGATACAAATATACGTGTGCATGTCATTGTAGGGATAAAGTTACAGTTACTTAATACCGTATGACGTAACGAAGCAAGCTTCAAGCTTCCTTGTGCGTACTGCTAAAGAGTGGAATTCTTTGCCAGAGTCTGTATTTCCTGAAGGGTATAACCTGGGAGTCTTCGAGGCCCGAGTGAATAGGTTGTTTATGGGACGACGTGCTCCATCGTAGACCGCATCATCGCTTACCACCAGGCGAGATAGTGGTCGAACGTAGCCCCATCAAGTATTGTAAAATGACATTTAACTTTTTCCATTGGCTGCTTTTTATTCTGTACATTTACAATACTTATAATAAATATATAATAATAAATTATTTTACATTAAAGATGTACTTAAACTTTACTGTTTCATGGGACCATTTGTATCAAATAATGACACTATTGACTTATCACGTCGGGGTCACCACTTTAGGGAACAGAGAGTATATAGTTCCCTAAGATCGGAAAAGGAGGATCCTCCGACCAGGCGAGGTGATCGTGCCTGGCGGGCTTTCTGCCCAACAGTTGTTCGTTGAGATTTTCTATCCGTGTTTATTCGCTTGTAAACTTTGCATGTGCGATGTAGGATTCTTGTGACGTCATCCGTTGACATGTGGCATGTGTCGCCACAATATAAAAAAAACGAAGGCAGTGCAAAGTGATATATAATATTATAATACTTACGTTTCTTCTTTGGTATGATCCAGTGCATCAATGATCAACTTCTGAGGAGCCACGCAGTTCCTGGCTAGGTTTTCATCAGTAATCAGTATGGGTTTCTGAAACAGAATTCATATTAGATTTTAAAAGTCAGGTGTCAGTTGTAAGATATTATATGGTATCTGTCATATATGAGGTTTACTGTGGGAAATTTTACTGTGGGAGCGCCATGCTACAGCACGAATGGGCCGACTCGACCGGAGCGATACCACGGCCGAGCTAAAATCATAGCGTTGCGTGGAGTCAGTGAGGATGCCGAAAGCCCAATTACTTCCCCTCCCCAATCTCATCAATCCCTGAATCTCCAACAATTCTCAAATTCCTAATCCCCAAAAAACCGGCAACGCACTTTTTTTAATGGGACAAGCCCGCCACAACCTCCCTAAACCGCTGCAACTTCTGTAAGCCAGGATCTACAGTTAGTAGATACAACCATGAAAACACCGGAACATTGAAGTCCGGCACGTCCCAGGGACATGAATTATTGTCTTGGTTCCCGCAACGAAGTAAATCAGAAGATATTATAAGAGAAGAAAAAAACGATAGTTTCCACTTCCCTCGGTGAATTACTGCAGGAAACAGAATGACTGCACATTTGGTGCGGTGGGTGGGCAACGTGTCGCGGGTTCGATTCCCGCACGGGACAACACTTTTTGTGATCCACAAATTGTTGTTTCGGGTCTGAGTGTCATGTGTATGTGTACTTGTATGTTTGTAAACGCACCCACGACACAAGAAAAAAATCTTTGTGTGGGGCAATGTTTAAAAAAAAAAAGAATTAAGCCTATAGGCACAAAAAAGAGACTGTACAACTGGGCAACGCACTTGTAACGCCTTTAGTGTTCCGTGCATTTACGGGCGACGCCGATTGCTTACCATCAGGTAATACGTCAGCTCGTTTGCCTATCCCATAAAGAATGTTATGTCGCACCTTGTTGGAGGCGGCGAGCAGGCCGGCGAGCCTGGCGGTGAGCGCGGGCACGGCCGCGGCGGCGAGCTCGCACTTGCTGATGACGGCGAAGAATGGCACGTCCAGCGCCGACAGCAGGGTTATGTGCTCCTCCGTTATTGGAGTTATACCGGCTGTGGCAGAGATCTGGGGACCGGAAGATACACATTAATTTTATCCCTTTGAGTACCGTCATTATAGACACAATTAAAGAACAATAGGTTGCGGTCACCGGTGTCCTCGCGGTGTTTGACAGTTTAAAGCAAAGAAAGACGGGCCAAGTATTACTGGGTTTTTAAAAAATTCACAGTAGAAGCATGTAGTCTGGAATTGTGCCCGGTATATGGCAATACGCTCACCGTAAGAAGTTTCGTCAATCAGCCTTTTTATTCCGCATCAATCGGAACACACGCTGAGGGTTCATAGTTTAGAACAGCATAGTACGATAAACGGTTTTCATTCATTCTTTACATAACATAACTCCTTTTATCCTCGAAGGGGTAAGCAGAGGTGTACATTATGCCACTGTACAATGTAACACCCACTTTTCACTATTTATGTTATGAGTCCCATGTAATAGGGGGTGAGCCTATTCCCATATACCGGGAACAATTCCAGACTCCGTGCTAGTAGTAAGATTTTTTTAAAACCCCAGTAATACTTTGCCCTACCCGGGAATCGAACCCAATGCCCGGCTTGCATTTATAGAGGAACACTATTATATGCTGTATACCATCACGCTTTGATCAATAAGCGCCGAGCAGAGTGGGTGAAACAGAGCGAATTAAGCTAGTATTGTATATTTGTAACTGACCACGAGCATGACGTAGTGCGGCGAGTACCCGGTGAGACCGTGCAGCGTGGTGCGCTGGTACTTGCTGTGGCCGGCGAGGTCCAGGAACGACACCAGCTTCGCACTCCTCTCGCCGATCCTCTCAGCCGTCATCAGCTCTGAACATCCGTAGTTTACTACGTTACCCTGTAGGGGGAATATCAAAGTCATAAATTAAAGTCCATTTTATTTTATTTCATTTCATTTCATTCCATTTCATTTCATTTCATTTCATTCCATTTCATTTCATTTCATTTCATTTCATTTCATTCCATTTCATTTCATTTCATTTCATTCCATTTCATTTCATTCCATTTCATTTCATTCCATTCCATTTCATTCCATTTCATTCCATTTCATTCCATTACATTTCATTTTATTCCATTTCATTCCATTTCATTCCATTTCATTCCATTTCATTCCATTTCATTCCATTTCATTCCATTTCATTCTATTCCATTTCATTTCATTCCATTTCATTTCATTTCATTCCATTTCATTTCATTCCATTACATTTCATTTCATTCAATTCCATTCCATTTACAGTCAATCATCATAGTTGTATTAGCAGCTCACCTGAGCATCGAACCCGAGTATCTCGTGGCTAAGAGACGATGTCCTCCCACTCTTAACCTCGTGCAGATGTCGGAACATGTTCAGACGTGCGCTGCCTCTGCCATTGTCCAATTCACCTGAAATTAATTGTTTTTAAGGTTAAAAAATTTAATAAAAACAACATTAGTGACTGTTTGTTTTTGCAGGCAATTTTTCATAGGAGGCAAAAGAGTGGACGGATCACCTGATGGTAAGCAATCGACGCTGCTCATGGGACACACGGAACACCAGGGGCGTACTCTGTTAATTGTGTAGTCTCTTAGTTGGGTATACGACACCCGCGAGTAGAATATGACATGACATGACCACACGCACGAAGCGCTTCGCATCAAGCTTCCTTGTGCGTACTGCTAAGGAATGGAATTTTTTGCCAGAGTCTGTTTCCTGAAGGGTATAACCTGGGAGTCTTCAAGGCCCGAGTGAATAGGTTGCTTATGGGACGACGTGCTCCAACGTAGACCGCATCATTGCTTACCACCAGGCGAGATAGTGGTCAAACGTCAGTCCCATCTAATATACAAGGTGTAGTTTTGAAACGGTGGTATTTCTAGGGGGCATGTCACAGAAGTCATAAAGGTTCAATGTAAGAGAAAGTTTCGGGCCAATAGTTAAAAATACGGCTATAATAAATCTTTTAAGTTCGACAGTATTTCAGAATAAGCGACAGCAATGTTTCTCATTGGAGTTTTATGGAATTAGGAATAATATCAATTACGTGTTTGAGTTTGTGTGTGTTAAACAGCGTTATAAAGCTAGTTACAAGACGGCGGCGTGTAGTTCGCACTTACGGATTTCCGTAATTTACAGAAAAATGAGAAATATTTACCACAATTTTTTTTATTGATTCGGAGTCAGAATCGATAGCGGAGTTACCTCCTAGAAAATGACGCGGCTTTAAAACAACACCTTGTATATGAAAAATGTTTACCTTGCGTCAGTACTCCTATGAGCGTGGACTTGCCAGCTTCATTGGCCCCCATCACGGCCACTCGGAGCTCCACGCTCTGTTTTGGATCAGGTAACTGAAACAAAAATATCCTATATTAGTACCGTCTGATATAAAATGAAATATTTTAATTCGGCATAAGACGTGCACGTCAAAAACAAAACATATATTATATATACATTATAACAAATAACAATAAAAAGGTAGTAGGTAGTCAATCACTTTGACTAGATTTTAGTGTTACATTGTTCTCGCACAATCGAACCAATAAAACTATGTAACTAGTAAATTGTATTGTGAACCTGATTGAAAAAGAGTAACCTATGGAGTTTCTTGCTCGTTCTTCTCCATAGGAATCTACACCTTGGAATGAGCAAATAGCTTCACTTTTAATTTTATTATTGACGTTCAAAAGTGCCTTTCTGGTCTAATTGAAATAAATGATTTTGACTTTAGACTTTTGACTTTTGAAGGTTTAAAAAACAGAGAGAGAGAAAGAAAAAAAATTAAAAAGGTAATAAGCTACATTATAAAACTAAAACAAGGTCAGTAGTCAGTCGCACTTGCGACCACTCGGCCCACGAGGCAGTCACAGCACTCATAAACTTATAAATGAAAAATTGGTTGCCTGTAAAGTCGGTATACGGGCGAAAGTTTTACGTGACAACGACTTTTTATGTCTGTCTCTCTTGCTCTTAGGTGGGCTAACCATGCCCGAGTGGAAGGGACGCGTGCCTCTCACTCGCTCTCATTGTGAGCGCATAACGTGAGCGGAGCGTAACACAGTTTCTTGAAGTGTCACCCGGCAAACCAATTTATAAGACGTTGTCACGTCAAAATGGGATTTTTTACCTTTCTAACATAAACTTCAGCGACAGCTCGGTGTGGGGCGACTCGTCTCGCGGTGACGTGTGTGAGAGTAGCGCCAAGGGCCCCGGCCATTCTACGTAACGTGACGAGCGAGCCGCGCAGTGCCCTCGCTCGGAGCCCGACCAGCGCCCCGCAGTCTCGGACCCCCAGCACGTACACTGCACTTCCACCGCCAGATCGGAGACGCCATTTTAGCTGAATTAAGGAAAATTATTAAAAATTGCATCAAATCACTCTTATATGTGGTATCCTTATTTCACAAAACGACAGTAGCCAATGTCAAATCTGGAATCGAATTAAAATTCCGAGTATATATCATCATATCATCATCATCAACAGCCTATTAAAGTGTTGAGCAAAGCCTCTTCACACACGTGGAAGTTTTGAGCATTAATCACCACGCTTGCTCAATGCGGGTTGGCGATTTCAAACTTATAATTAGAAATTATATAAGTCCAGGTTTCCTCACGATGTTTTCCTTCACCGTTTGTCAGTGGTGTCTAAATAATTTTAGAAAGTACATATAACTCGAAAAAAGTCACATTGGTACTTGCCGTTGGTAGGTTTCGGCATCCTCATTCATGAGAAGCGGGCGTCTTAATCCTCCAGGTCACCACGACATAGCTATCACTATATAGTATAAAACAAAGTCGCTATCCGCCGTCTGTCTGTCCCTATGTATGCTTAGATCTTTAAAACTACGCAACGGATTTTGATGCGGTTTTTTTAAAAAGATAGAGTGATTCTTAAGGAAGGTTTATATGTACAATACATGTATATTATACCCGAGAGAAGACGGGGCGGGTCGTTATTTTTTTTAATGGGACAAGCCCGCCACAAACTGCCAAAACCGCTGCAACTCCAGCCAGGATCTACAGTTGATACAACCATGAAAACACCGGAACACTAACGGGGCGGGTCGCTAGTATAATATATTGAAAAGTGTAATAATATCAGTAGCAGCACGGAGTCTGGAATTGTGCCCGGTATATGGCAATAGGCTCACCCCCTATTACATGGGACTCATAACATAAATAATGAAAAGTGGGTGTTACATTGTACAGTGACATTAATGTCGGATTACTGAAACGCTACTTAATTTTAAGTCGTGCTTAAGTATAGTTCTGTCACCACTAATTCTTTGTGACATGACAGAGATGGCACGATATTTAAGCGCGACTTAAAATTGAGTAACGTTTCAGTATTCGGGCATTAGTGGCGTAATGTGCACATCTGCCTACCCCTTCGGGGATAAAAGGTGTGATGTTATGTTGTAGATAAATAAAACCGTACCTGAGTAACTAGATGCTGGAACCTCCTTTCACACAGCGAGACTAGTTGCAGTTTGTACTCGACGTTGCCGAACCTGGGCTCGGGGGGTAGACTGCCGTACACTTCGTCTCCTGAGTCGTCCGGCTCTGAGGTACTGATGAAAAAATGCAGCTTATACATACGTGGACTTTATTTATATAAGGGGACAAAGTGTACTATAAATTTCTATTAATTGACTCTGAACTTATTTCCATTTATCGATAATAAAGCAAGTTCTGACTGTCGGGCAAAGGGTCTCTAGTTCGATTCCTAGGTCGGGCAAAGTATTACTGCTTGTTTTTTAAATTCTCAGTAGTAGCACAGAGTCTGGAATTGAGTAGATGACTAATTTTTACTATAATCTTCGTCTGGTACATTATTTAAAATCATTAGACACGTATTTTTTATTTTCTTACGGAAACGAATAGTTTCGAAGATATATTCATTTGGAATATCGCATGACGTCACTTTTGAGTACGATTTATACTCTAAAATGACGTAGCTACCTCCCACTCATTAATTCGTTTTACCTGAGTGTTATTTTCTTATACGACAAAATAAAAAAATACGTGTCTAATATATTTTCATTACCTTTCTGACGGGCTAATTAGATTTTTCGTTTTTATACACTGTCATGATCCCTCTTGTGCCCGGATTATAGCAATAGGCTCAACCCCTATTACATGGGACTCATAACATAAATAGTGAAAAGTGGGTGTTACATTGTACAATCTACCCTTTCGGGGATAAAAAGACAAGGCAAGGCGTAAAAAAAATACTCACGAATCATCGATAAAATCCTCCAAATCATCAGAACTATAAAAGAAATCGTTTTCCAAGTCATTAGTATCAAATTCACCAGCCAAATACATATCGTCCTTTAGAATAACCTTTTCTAACTTATCGATAACATTATAGACATCCCTATCACGGAATTTATCGATAGTCGATACTTCATTCCGTTTATTTTTAATCTTCATTTCATTTTTTAAATCGTTGACATTCTTGCCGATGTTCTCGTCACATATCTTTTGTACCAGAAGTTGATTGTTCCAGTTTTTGGTCTCATTATTGTCCGGGTTGGTTTCTACCCACGCCTGGTTGGGTAAGTCCTTTAGAGGGGATATTTTGTTCTTTTTCCGTCTACATTTGCGTCCTGAGTTTCTGCGCCTCGGTTTCTTGTCGGGGTCTGTTTTGTCTGAAAAAAAAATATCAAAGATTTGCATTAATTCATCGTTTGTCAGTGGTATCTAAATAATCTTAGAAAGTAGGTAGGTTTTGCACCCGCATGGATGAAAAGTGAGCGTTTTAAAAGTCAAAGTCAAAGCAACTATTTCAATTAAACCATAATTTGGTACTTTTGAAACGTCAACAAATACAAAATAAATAATAGTCTGTCAGTCAATCCGTCAGTGAAGCTAGATGAAGCTAGGTGCTCATTCCAAAATGTAGATTCGAATGGAGAAGAAAAACCTCCAAGCCACCACGACATGAACTGACAAACGGTGAAGGAAAACATCGTGAGGAAACCTGGGCTTATAATACGGTAGATGACTAATTTTTATTTTAATGTCCGTCTGGTAGATTCTTTTAAAATATTACACACATATATTTTTTACCGACTGAATACATTCGACGATATATTGATTTGAAATGTCGCGTGACGTCACTTCTATGTACATTTTATACGTAGAAATGACGTTTTAGCCCCCACTCTTAATCTATTCGTTATATCTAAGTATCGTTTTATTATGCACCAAAATAAAAAATACGTGTTTAATATTTTAAACACGTATTTTTTCTTTCATTACCTAACTGACGGACTAACTAGATTTTTAATTTTCATACCCATATCCCTATTTCTAATTATAAGTTTGAATTATCAACCCGCATTGAGTAAGCGTGGTGATTAATGCTCAAACCTTCTCCGTGTGAGAAAAGGCTTTTGGTAAGCAGTGGGCATTTATAGGCCATATATATGTCGATGATGATGATGTATAAATCCACTGAAGTATTAAAGGAAGTATACAATAACTTAGCAATAGGCTCACCCCCTATTACATGGGACTCATAACATAAATAGTGAAAAGTGGGTGTTACATTGTACAGTGTGGCATTAAGTGCCGTAATGTGCACCTTTGCCTACCCGTTCGGGGATAAAAGGCGTGATGTTATGTTATATGGTAACTTCAACTGCTATGTAACAATTAATTACGTTATATAATGACTCCTTGAACTCAGGTAACGCTGGGATATCCCTGAGCTCTTGCTATTGAGAAATTCAAGGGAACAACCACTACATAGATGGATCGTTTAGAGCGGCTCGACGGCAGTGATACCACGCACAACTTCACAGGTGTGAAATAACGCATGTTTGCAACCAAACCCCATAAAAAATGTAACTGGTTCGATTCCCGCACGGAGCAACTCTTTGTGCGATCCACAGATTGTTGTTCCAGGTCTGGGTGTCATGTGTATGTGAACTTGTATGTTTGTAAATGCACACACGACACAGGAGCAAATCCTGGTATGGGGCAACGTTTAAAAAAAGCATATCACATAAACGCACCCACGACACAGGAGAAAATCCTAGTGTAGGGGCAACATCTTTTTTGAAAAAAAGAAAAGAAATGAGAGTATATAATATTAAAAACTTACCATCTTCCTTCTTATTAATCTCAATGAAGTTTTCTATATAGCTAACATCTTTCACTAGGAGATCAGTACTGAGATCAGGCTCACAGAGGAACGAAGATTCTTCTGGTAACGTCTCGTTCTTCACCGCTGACTTGCGTCCTCTTCTGCGTCCTATAATCAAGAAAAAATTTAAAATAGATACATAGTTACTTTCTAATCATTGAGATTTTTATTATGTTAGCCATGTTAGCGTTTAATTATTTAACATAGAACAAATTCATGTACAAATTCCATTTCATTACAATACATTCCATTTCATGCCCTTCCATTACTATTTCAATCCAAACCATTCCATTTCATTCCAATACATCCTTTTTAATTCCAATACATTCCATTTCATGCCCTTCCATTACTATTCCAATCCAAACCATTCCATTACTATTCCTATCCAAACCATTCCATTTCATTCCAATACATCCCATTTCATTCCCATACATCCCATTTCATTCCAATACATCCCATTTCATTCCAATACATCCCATTTCATTCCAATACATCCCATTTCATTCCTATACATTTCATTTCAATACATTCCATTCCTAAAAGTACTGTAATACTCTCTTACCCTTAGGTGCGTCAGGTTTCTTCTTAACGGTGTCCTGTTCGGGTTTGTGCCTCTTTTTATTCTTTGGCTTGTTCTGGCTACCCTCTGAAGGGTCGAATAGACTAAAAAACGAATCCATTATTCTGTAACAATAGATAAATTAACCCTTTGAGTACCGTCATTATAGACACAATTAAAGAACAATAGGTTGCGGTCACCGGTGTCCTCGCGGTGTTTGACAGTTTCCCTTTGAGTACCGTCATTATAGACACAATTAAAGAACAATATGTTGCGGTCACCGGTGTCCTCGCGGTGTTTGACAGTTTCCCTTTGAGTACCGTCATTATAGACACAATTAAAGAACAATAGGTTGCGGTCACCGGTGTCCTCGCGGTGTATGACAGTTTAACTCTTTGAGTACCGTCATTATAGACACAATTTAAAGAACAATAGGTTGCGGTCACCGGTGTCCTCGCGGTGTTTGACAGTCCCTTTCGGCTTTCAGTATTCGGCCGTATGACGTCGAAATCAATAACAAAAATAAATAATGACGCCCAAATATCATTTATAGTGAACATCTAAATAAGATTTCTTAGTAAAATTATCAAGTCTCTTAAAATGGAGATCGCTATGATAATTTTTCATGTGTCAACAGACTGTAAGTACGTTACGTCATGCGCACTAGTTTTGAGATTTTAAGATCACATTGTTTACTAACCTACTGAAATAACCTACTTGATGTTATCGGTATAACATAATACAGATAAAAAAGATGTTATTATTTTAATATTTTCAAAGATTTGTAGATTGTCTGTTGTCTTTTAAGTTTCTAGGAGAACTATGCTTATAATATTTTTACATCGACATATATTATATACTAATGGACATGCCTTAGAGATCAGAATTGTGGCACTCCGAAAGAAAGAGACGAAACGAAGTTTCGGTCTATGTTTATCTCTCTCAAAATTGTACCGTAGTTAAGACGTTATGAGCGAGAAAGAGATAGCGCTAGACCGAAAGCATAGGCCATCCCTCTCACTCTTTTCAAACCAAAAAATTACTGCAGATTATACGCGTACGGCATATCCATTAGTATATGTCGATGTATTTTTATATTTGGATTTTTTTTTATTTACAGTCAGTCGCTAGACTATGAGCAAATTAATTGAAGGTCAATTAACGTTTGGAGCTACAGGCTTTCATGCAGACGCCCCTTAGGTAGGAAGCACATCAGCTCTATTTAAACTCTTGACAGGCACAGAAGTCACCAATTGGTGGACTAGTGAATTTGGGTGTGCAGAAAGTCGTTCCATGTACTTACTGTTTTTATTTCAGTTACGACATTTGAGATTCCAAGATAGTCGTGGATGTACATACATAACATCACGCCTTTTATCTCCGAAGAGGTAGGCAAAGGTGCACATTATGCCACTTTACAATGTAACACCCACTTTTCACTATACTATTTTTATTTTGGAAAATTGAAACAAAAGAAAGAAAAATAAGCATTTATTCAGCACCAACCACGATGCAGTATAAGTAAAATAAAAAAAAGACAATAAAGGTGTGACAGTGGAAGTAAGAAAAACATTGAGTTGAAAATTAAAACAGAAGAATTAGAAGAGAGACGCTAACAACATGCCTATGCTAAATGGGTTACCCACTCAGTGTAAGCCAGGCACGCGAGTCACCCAGCACTGGTTGTCAGTGGGCACCTCTGCAGTGACGCACTCAAGAAAAGTTATATCCTAAATTTGATATTATTGTCAGCCGAAGTCGCGGGCAACAGCTACTGATAAATAAATCGTTGCATATTTTCGTAGTCTTGCACTAGGTATTTTCAAAGGTGTAAATATATCCACGCGTCTACGTGTCGTGCCAAACACAACAATGTTTTGATGTATCTTTAGACACAAAATCTTGTGGCAATAAAAACATAGAAGGTTGAGTTTGAACAAAAATTGCAAAAAGAAAAATTTATTTGCACCGTTACAAAAATTAAAAAAATAATCAAGAAAAAATAGTTTAAAAAAAAACAGAATAGTACACGGTGCAAAAAGGCCAGGGGTCAGCTAAATTGTCCTGACCTGGGTGCTTACTCTTGAAACCAATCTCAATGTCAAAAAATTATTCAATATCAAAACTATACAACCCTTATCGTAGCTGTTAAAATAGCATTCAGAGTACGGAATATAGAGCCAAACTCAATACCATTTAGTTCATTCAATATCCACGCAATACGGGTGCAATGAGCGCTAGTGTTGTAACTCAAAAGTACGAAAGTTCACAATACCAATGTCGATTGATCGGAATTGGATTCAAGAGTAAGCCCCCTGAGCGCGTTTGCTCGAGTCGCGGCGCTGATTTTCAGCACTAGCCCGTTGGTAAAATATCATACAACAAATAAAAAAAAAAAATATTAATCTAAACATATAATAAAACTGTAGAAGTGTAAATTCTAACCTACACATTGACAGACCAGACAGTATAACATTCTCTGATAAACTTGATATTTTAAAATTTGAACTGGGTTCTCTAATTGGCCTGCCAAATGTGCTGACTATGGCAAACTGTCTCATGTAGAGAAGGTGCTTAGAATAGAATAAAATCTCTGTAGAATAAAATTGACATTTGACAGTTGTTGGTATGAAGAAAGAAGAAAGAAAGAAAGAAAAATTATTTATCTGCACACCGTCACAAAATATAATAACACACAAAAAAATTAAACAGTAAACACGTCGCAAAAAGGCCAGAGCTCAGTATAGAACAATTGTCAAATAGTCAAAGTTATTTCTCTGATAAAATTTAAGTGAGCATTAAAAAACCAGCCCTTAACTCGTCGAGTACTGTATTTATAGACACAATTAAAGAACAATAGGTTGCGGTCACCGGTGACAGCTTGGTGTTTGACAGTTTAATATTAAATTTTCTAATTACAACAATAAAAGAACAACGAAAATTCATAAAAACCGAATGGACTTTCTGTATTCGTCTACATCGCAACATCGGCCTTCGATTTTCGCACTTTTCACGTCAGGTCATTGACACCCAATTTATCTTTTTTTATCATTTAACCTCGATAAAGAGATTTAGAAGTAAATAAACACCAGACTGCCTTGTTGGCCGAGAGGTAGCAAGAGCGACTGCTAGGCAAAGGGTCTCGGGTTCGATTCCCGGGTCGGGCAAAGTATTACTGGGTTTTCTCAAAACATCTCAGTTATAGTCGTAGTAGCACGGAGTCTGGAATTGTGCCCGGTATATGGCAATAGGCTCACCCCCTATTACATGGGACTCATAACATAAATAGTGAAAAGTAGGAGTTAAATTGTACAGTTGGACTGCACGGTTGGTGCGGTGGCTGGGCAACCGGCTGCCGTGCAACGTGTCGCGGGTTCGATTCCCGCACGGAACAACACTTTGTGTGATCCACATTGTTTCGGGTCTGAGTGTCATTGTGTACGTGAACTTGTATGTTTGTAAACGCACCCACGACACAGGAGAAAATCCTAGTGTGGGGCAACGTTTTTTAAAAAAATTATGAATGATGATGATGACAGTGGCATTAAGTGCCGTTACGTGCACCTTTGCCTACCCGTTCGGAGATAAAAATCGTGATGTTATGTTATGAACATTAAGAGTCGACACTTTCGACATAAATGCCTCGTTCGTCGTAAAGTTGCGACACTACCGATTTGTGGATCTTTACAGAGCTGAGGAAGTCCTAGCGACCGGCCTTAAGAGGAGTTAGGCTATTCTATAACTTTCAGTTCAAAAGATCAGAGTGAACTCCCGGCCCGTCATGTAATTGGTTGTGAGAATGGAATAATTTCGACCAATGACGGGCGAGAATGCGATATAGCTCACTTAACAGAAGTAAGAACCGGGTGTTGATTGGTCAGTAAGAGTTGGACACTCCCTCTTACCTTACAAAAGGCTGGAGAAGTCATCGGAGAATCCCCCCCCCCTCCCCTCCAAGGCCGTTCAAAATTCTAAGTATCAAATCAACACGGAGTTAAAAATTGCGCCCTCTGAATAGCAAAGACTTTTTGTCGTTTAGTAAACGCGGACTAAAATACATTAGTAACAACTCCTTTCACGCAGGAGTCATAAGAAGTCGAGCAAGGGCCGATATTTGTCTTTAGGTCTCTTGTGTAGAGGTGCCTCAAACTACCTTTGCGCTATTTGCGCATATTTTGCTAAAAATAAATATTACTGTAGCTGCTATTAGGTATGAATTAAAACTATTAATAGCTTTCCAAGGTAACACAAACAGCTGATTCCTATTTTTATACGTCACATTCAGAAAATCCCCAGATAAAAAAAACGAAGATAAAAATAAAAATCACAATCTCTCTGGTTTATTTTTTCTCAAACTTGGCATTAGTTTGACGTAAATTTTGGCGGGAATTTGGCAATCTATGTTGTTGACTGTGTTTAAAATTTTGTTTATTTTGAATTTATGTAGACTGCCAAATTGATTTGATATTTATTTTCGTAACTGATAGAGCGGCGTAGTAGACTTATATCATAATTTATAGGGAGGAATGAGCCCGAATCTAACTTGTGACGACGGTTTATGACGGACAACGCTAAGTTTTACAATAATAATTATACCCACGAGATACTTCATTTTGCTTTCATACAAAACTAGCTTCTGCCAGTGGCTTCGCTCGTGTTTCATGGGATAAAAGTGGCCTATGTGTCATTCCTCTCGCTGTTCCAAACATCCTGATCCCTTTACACGTTTTGCTGTGACTGAGTAATTAACATACTAACAAATTGTTGCATTTATTATATTAATCAGAAGATATAAAATAAGGAGAACCGCAGAAGAGTTGTAAGACAATACCGACCTTTCGGAAGGGTAGGGAATCCGCTACCCTGCTACAGTACATTCCTAATATTGATTTATTTATATAAAAGTCATATTATAATCATCAAGAAGTGTCACAGATTATAATTATCATCTTCAATTTTAGTAAACAATAATAAGAAAACCACAAATGAATATGATAAACCGTCAGAAAACTACGAAGTACCTACAATGATTACTAGCAAATAAATAAATAGGCATTCACTTAATAAACATAGGTATTTATTGCTAGTGGCTCATCCACATTTCGCCTGGGTACTATTTTC